ACCCACCCGCAGTGTGTCATTACATCCATGTCAGTTTCAGTTCAGGCAGGATTTGGCTTTACAGCCGAGGTATGTAGTGTTGCTCTCGCTTTCAGAGAGTCTGATGAGGTATCTTTTATACGTTTCTTTTTTTTTCTTTCAAACAGTCACGTAGTCTTGTGCATTCTTCACATAATGAATCTTCTTTAAATTAACAGTGATTCCTTGCGGTTTGTCACTTTACTTCCTGAGAGAGACGCCCTCCAGAACAGAGAGGCCAGTGTGAGGTCTAGGAACTAGTTACTGATGAAGACGCCGTCCTGTTTGGAGGGGTGGGGTGAAATGGGACCATGTAGCTGGGTTTAGGAATGCCTCAGTAAGTCTGTGAGTAGAGACATAAGCTCAGGGTCTACTGGGCTTTCACAGCTGCTGCTCCACCCGAACTTTGTGCGTTACAACCGTTAAAGACGGACCTGTAAGGAAGTGAACTAAAAGCGCATCTCAATAGAAACAAATATCCTCAAAAAAATCAATTATTTCAGTATTTCAATTCCAAAAGTTAAACTAACTAATAAGAATGTGAATTGACAAGGCTTTGGTGATACGATAGATTACAAATCACGATAAAAGTTTAATAGATAGATTAACAAACAGGATAAACTACGATTTTTATCATAGAGCTCTAGATGATTTCGAGGGATCTTGTTGTAATAGGCTCTTAGGTGGCCTATAATTATTTTCACATTTGCAAACCATTTCATTTTAAATCATTAGCAATATCAAAGAAAATATCGTGATATTGGTATTTTGAACCAATGTAAATATTATCCAGGGAAATATTGCGATATTTGACTGATTTTTTTTTCTCCTTACACTCCTACTAAGAAACATTATGGAAAAAACTGACATATTTCAAGAATTAATTTCAGTTTATTCCTAATGGCTGGGTTGTTTTTAAATATATGGTTTCTAAGATCATTAGACATTTACATAAAACCAATTCAATAATATTTTAGTGTAGAGAAGTCATTTATAGCCATGCTGAGGCCAACAAAACCATAGGGAAGACTATGGTTATTAACACCCTTGGTAGGTAAGCCACAAAAAGCCTTGCCAAAGAAGCCGGCTGTTCAGAATCCGGGCCTATTATTGAAAAGTCGGGTCTAATGAACCATAAGAAAAAAAAAAAGCCATCTGAAAGTTTGGGGGAAATTGAGAAGAATATAGCTTTGGAGTGAATGCTTTAAGGTCTGCCACACAGATGGATTCAGGACATTGCCAACAAGTGCTACCTCTGCTAACAAGCTTACAGAGATGCTGATCTCAAGTTTTATCCAGGCTTTTCTCAGCACCTTTAGTACCAATACTTCCTTTATTGAATGTTTTATCACTTCAGCATCCAAACTGCCTGTCCTAAACTGCACTGAGGACCTTTCAGACAGCCGTCTGCAACCTGCAGCCCAAGAGACGCAGGAGGCTCACAATCACTGTCAGAAAAATATCAAAACCCAGCTAATAGTTTTGGATATAAAGTAAATAAAAAAACCTTTTCCGTCCAATATAACTTCCCAAAAATATCCCTGTCTTATTAATTGATAACCTATTTTTATGAAAGCGTTTTTTTCATTTTTAAACCTTAAAAATAGAAATAAAATTATGTTTCAGACAATTAATTTATCCATAACCATTCTGTCTTTTTTTAAAGGTCTTAAATACGTTTTACTTAGCTGGACTGAAGGCAAAAACGCTCTTCGGATTGTAAAGGCTTTGCTCTATGATGACGTCCTTGGATAATAAAAAAAGCTGATCATTAAAATACTAACTCATGCAAAAGGAAATTTAACCACTGAGCACTCCTGCTGTTTAGAGATCAATTTTAATTGGTTTTCTGTAATATTCAATTTTCAGACGAACTGAAATTTTAGTTTATTCCATTAGTCGTTAGCCATAATAATTAAATGCACAGACATAAATGCTTGAAATATGCAAGTTAAATTAAATAACATAAATGATTTTTCAAGGATATTTGAACTGAATGAGATGCTCCTACATAGGTTAATGCTTAAAGGCTTTCTAACGAGAGTGGTTGTGAGATGAGGTATTTAATCTGCCGATCCACAGCATCATCAGTCCGAGGCTACAGTGTGTTAGAGAGCAGAATGGCCTGGGTTGGAGGCCTATTGCTGTGAGGTCAAGGCTCTGTAAAATGAGGTTGTTGTGGTGAGAGTTTACCCGACTTCCCCTGATTGCAACACGTTCAAAGAAAATACAAAAATAAAGTTGATTCAGGTTAAATATTCTACAGCTCCTGAGGTAAAGACACCACTGCAGGTTACTTGATTTGAGGTACGTAAAAAGAGAAAAAAACTGAAAACAAAAATCATTCTAAAAAAAAAACGACACAAAATCAAAAAAGGACAACAAAATGGCAACGAACAAACAAAATGTCCCAAAGGTAAAACTTTTCAAGTTCAGTTGTGAATACGCCTGTCAGCGGGTTTTGGCTGAGCTGATTGTGTTTAGCATCTACACTAGGATTAAAAAGTGTAGAAATGATGTGTTTATCTATCTGTGTGGTGGATTAAATGCAGAGAATCGTGTGTGTTTGTGATATTCTGACGCTCTATGCTCATTACTGGACAGCCAAAAGGTTGACAGGGTTGTTGAGGTATTTGTTGTGCAACAGTTTTCTTATTCTTATCGGTTTCTCGTTGAACTATTTATGCTGAGGCCTTGCTGGGGAAAACCGGTCCAGGAAGCGGAAGAAAGCTTGAGTTAGGGGGACCCGCTGGGGGCCAGCTCAGCGGAGCCAGAGCCCTTGGAGGAGCAGGTGGAAGAGGGTGTGGGGCTGAGGGTCTGAGCCTGGGGAGCAGAGAAGCCAAAGCTTGTGCTGGTTCCAGCAGGGGATGACGAGGCAGCGCTAGCAGCGACAACAGTCCCTGGTGCAGCACCGGACTTCTGGGCAAAAAGGGTTCCTGAGAGGAAGCCAGAAATGTCTTAGTTATCTGTTTTTTATGGCTAGCAGGGTAAAAAGTTGATATTTTCTTCATACAAACCTGAATAGATTGTGCCATTAACCTCTACAGATACAGTGATGCTAGCACTGCCATTGGTAGAGATGCTCAGTGACATGTCCTGCTGCTTCTCTTCTAAACAGACACAGAAGGGCAGATTATTTTACAAAACATTTCTATCATTTCATTCCCAACATTAGATTAGAAAAGATCAAACCAACCTTTTTTTTTTTTTGCAGGGTTCACTTAAAATATCCTTACAGATCTTTTAGATTGAGTCAAAATAAACCTGATGTCTATTGCTCAGAAGAATTAAATCAGAACGCCTGCCTGTCAGTGAGCCCCAGGGCAGCCGTGGCAAATGTAGTTTGCCTCCATCAGTGTTTGAATCAAAGGGTGAAAGACTGAATGTAGTGTAAAGCACTTTGGTCAAGTCCTCTAACTTTAAAAAAGCACTTTATAAGTACAGGTCATTTAAGATTTATGAATAATCTGATTTACTGATTTGAGCTGGACATGGCACATCACGCTGCAGGTGCAATGTCACTATGGGCAAAAAACACAATGGGAAATTAATTTTCCTTTCCTACGTCACACAAATTCTACATGTCATTTGTTTGTAAATTGTCTAAAAATTAGTAGGAATAAGGACTAGATGGACTAGTTGCTGGCGAAAATAGATAATTTTTCCAGCAGAAACAGAGATGGACCTAAAATAAAAAAATATGTGGTTTAATTTCTCCAAAAGGAAGAAAATAATTCTTCCATTTGAAGGATTTTTAAGCCATCAACTGAAAATCTTACTTTTCATGCCAAAACGATTTGAGTTGGGCTCCAGTTTAAAACTCCTAAGTGGCTTTTTTTTTCCATTTTTAAAATTTTCAATTGGGTCCTCAGAAAGCAAGATCCCAGCCCTATTTATTTTACTACCTAAGAAATAAAATATTTTCATGTACCCCTTGCAATGCACTCGTGGACCAATAGGGGTACGTGTTGGTCCACGAGTGCATTGCATTCTTATAGTGTCCTTCAACAAAATTCAAAGTCAGCATTTATATCATGTAATGTATGTGTTTGAACTGTTCCTTATCAACCTTGGAAACGCTGACCTCTGGTGGCGATGGTGGGGGCTCCCAAGCGCAGGTTCATGGGCATTTGGGAAGCCATAGCCAAGAAGTTATGTTGGAAAGCCTGCTGCATGAGACGCTGCTGCTCCTCTGCCAGGCGGGCCATCTTTCTCTCTGGCCCCTCTCCCCCTCCGCTGGTCTCCAGCTTTTCTCTGAGCTGCTCCAGTGTGGCGGCTCTGGCCAAACCGGCCACCTGCTGCTGACCCAGAGACAGCGCCATGGGGGGTCTCCCTGCCATCATTGCAGGAGTCAGGTCTTCTAAAGAAAAAAGAAGCGGAGATAAAAATGACAAAAACTTAACAGCCGATAATAATTCAGTTTGTGAAGCTGAAATCCAAGGTAAATGCAGGAGGTTTTTGTTCTGCAAATCGACAAACGTCACAAAATATCCTGAATAAAATCAGACTTTACTCACTTTGCTTTAAAATAATTTCAATTAATAATAAACTGATCGAATCCTTCTTTTAGATCAGCTGCTACTTTATCCTGACTATAAGACACTGAAGTACCGTTTTCAAACCAGCACTTAAGTCAAACCACAGACACTGTTAAAGGTCAACAACAGACTCACATTCCCACCAAGGCCAAGCGGCATCAGATAAAACAACAGCATAATGACAGTTATCAACAGGAGTCCTCTTAATGTGGAACACAAGCTTCAAAGTTCATAAAGTGGCCTCCCCTGTGTGGGAACCAGCTTATTTATCATTAAATAGGAGGGGGCTCCTGTAGCCTCGGGCAGAAATGTTAAGAGTCTTAAACACCTGGATAGACCACACAAACATGTCCTGACAAAATCACATGCACGTGTACAGGGTGATACACGATACGGAGACACTTAAATATGACAACAATATATTCAGTTTTGCTTGTTTATGCTCATCTACGCCTCAGAGAAGAATTTACTGATGTCCGATAATCTGAACGGTTATTAAGCCATTTATAATCAATGGGAATTTTTAGCTGCTAATTTCGTGGGGTAGAGATATCCAAACAAAATTTCACCAAATTCAGACTTTCGAATGCTCAGCGAGATGATAAAATTGAAAAAACATAAAGAACATGAGGGTATTTAATGTCTGTTTTTCTCAGTAGGAGTTGAAAGATTGGAAAGCAACACAATGGAAAAATTAAACAAGGAGAAAATTAGGACAACTACCGTATACTGCTTTTTAGACATGATGGTTGATTTAAATTGCTCTTAATTTGGTCGGGTAAGTGTGTGCCTGTTCAATGAACATGTTGGCCCTTCAAATAAACCGATTTGATGTTAAACACTTGAAATAAGACGGTGGAGTTTCTATTTTATTATTTTGAATGTAAATCATTTCATTCCACTGGCAAAAAGTCGTCCCTGCTCAAGTCAAGGAAAAATGAAAATACTTCAAGAAGAACTACATTTCTTATTTATTTTTTTGTGCAGACTCTATAGGTTGCAGTAAGAATAACTCAACTAAAGTGTATTACAGGAATGATTAAAAATACCAGAATAATTGCATCTTGTTTGGAAGGTTTGCAGCACTGGGTTCTGAACAGAAGGTTCTTCTCGGCTTCACTGCAAAGCCTCATGCTTGCCAAAACCTCAACAGCACATCAACACCTCATTACACCTGTCCATTATGGTGGCTGTCAGGCTTGGATGTGCTTTAGTGTTAGAGCTGCTGTTCCTGTAGTAAGCAAGCTCTTTTTACTACCTAAGCATTCTCTGTTAGAAGGTCAAAGCTTTGCAAAAACCTGAAATCTAACAGTACAACCTAAAATGTAGAAATTCCAACAAACTTTTATCGGCCAAGAAGAAGCAAGACCTTAGAATGGTTCAGGGTAAATTTGAACAGTTTTAAGGGAATGTCCTTACAGACATTTTCTATTCAGCTTTGTCTTAGATGCAGTTGTTGAATACAGCGACAGGGGGCAGTATTTCTCTATCACTAGGCAACATCTCAGCATTAGACATCTAGAGCAACAACCCCTTATGTCCACATCAAAGCAGCTAGACTCTCCCAAGTAGTAATTTACCCAACCTATAAAGTCCTAATTGATGTTAGGTGTATTTTTCCCTTCCAGCAGTTACTTGCATGTAAAAACTGCCCATTTGCTTTGAGGTAAGCCAAGAAAGGAAGCTTCTAATCCAAAAACTTTTATTTTTATACCATTTCCTTTAGTTCTCCAACATGCAGTTTTTAAATGTATGCATTTAAACTAACATTATTACACTTCTGAATACAAAAAGGCATGAATTGCTATTCAGTGTAGGTTGAAAATGCCAACCTTTCTTCAGAGAGGTTCCTGGAGAAGCCTGAAGGCCGTTGATGGCCACAGAGGTCCCAGCACCAAGGCCTGCCAGATGCATCTTGGGCGGAGAGAGGATGTGGGGAGCCGTGCTTGGAGAGGGTGAGAAGCGGAAGAGGCTGCTGCTGTAGCTAGGACGACGGCCCTCGCGTCGGTTACTGTCGATGGCTGCTTGCAGCTCACCCGGGGAGCTGAGACCTTTCCTCTCGCACTCGTACGGGTACAGGTATTTCATGTACCTTAAAATAAAAACGTAAAAACAATGTTAGGCTGAGTAAAAAATGAATCAAACCATCAAAGTATGTAAAAAAATGCACTCATGTATGAAAGGTGTTTGGAAAGCAAGCATATTTTTAAAGAATGTCTGACAAGACTAAGGAACTTAAGAATCATACATTTTTCCTTTAATAGATTTTTTTCAAATGTTTCTTTAGAGGAGAAAAAAAATCAAACAGTTCATAAAACCATTTTTAGCTAAAAATATTTGTATCTCTTGAACCATTTTCCTAAGTTTGTCACATTTCAACCGCAAACATCTAAAATGACACTAGAATCTGTGATTCCAATGAAGAACATAACCTAATAAAGACTCCTCCTGCTATGTCAGCTATGCATCTTTAGGAGAAAGTCTCCACCAGCTTTACAATGTAGATCAAGCTCTATCAGACTGGAGGACTGTGACTTAGAGTGACATAAGTTGTCCTGAGCCCTGTCTCTAGTCATGCTGCTATAGGCTTAGGCTGCTGGAGGACATGCTTACCATTTTTCTCACTCTGCTCTATTCTCCTACTGCTCTTCCATTTAGCATTATTTGATCATATATAAACTTTTAAATAAATGTTTGTTTTCTGTTTTCTCTTCATAAAAGCCATTTATGGTTTAGCAACTGGCACCATTCCAATATAACCTCTGGCTAACATACTGCCGGAAGCAACTTAATATTCTTGTTTAAGAGATGATGCACCTAATGATGCAAATTCAATGTTTAACTCTGCTTCTCTCTAAGTTGTAGCCAATGGCTGAGCTTTTAACAGTTAACTCGCTAACTAACTGGATTTTAAAGCTGTGTTTTGAAAAAAAGAGATAATCCTGCCATTAAGATTTTATTTTAGCAAAGAAAGTATGTCCTGGATCAGTACGGCTATGTGCTTTTTGTCTTCAAAACCCATAGTCAGCTGTAGCAGAATGCTGTTATCACTGGAAACTGGAGGTTTCTTCCTGTTAAAAGAGAGATTTCCTTTTTACTGCTGCTACTTGCATTGTCTGAATGAAGGATTGTGGCAAAATTAAACTATACAACCACATATCGACTGTTGCTGCATGCTCATCCCGGAGGAGTGAAAGCTGCAAGGCAATGACTCGATGCAATCTCTGATGGGAAACGATTAAAATAATTTGAATAATAACTTGTTTTTGACTAAACTGTTTATTAACTGGATTAAATGTAATGCACAAGCTCGATTTGGAAACTGATTTAGATTAGTTGATTTGGGTTTTCTGTATTGTTCAGCCTTGAGATTGTTGTTGTATAAACAGACTGAATTAAATGTAATCAATAAGGGTTTAAAGATACATCTTAAAGCCTTGCTTTAGATGAAGAACTTCACTCCAGTCTTAAGAAATTTCCTGTCCAGCATTGTATTTAGATCCAGGTCCAGCTTCTTTATCCTGGAGTAAAAACCTCCACATGTGGATCAACTGTGTTTTTCTAACCCCCTATTAGATAATCTAAATCAAAGAAGGGATTTAAAAAGAAATATTAAAAGGAAAATCACCTATTCTGCTATCAATCTTTAAAAAGTTCCCACATTGGCACTTTTCTTTCCTAATTTCTTCACCATCTGCTCCCTACTCTGTTTCTGATGAAGTGTGATTTTATTTCCCAGAACAACTGAATTTATTGCAACATCTGGTACAATAATGTTGTTTGAAGGGGAAACCAGTTGGATCACACCCCAACAGCTCTAGATGTATGCTAGGTATGTTTCCATCCGTAAAAGGAACCCCTGGAAAATGCCCACTCACTTCGTATTGGTGGAATATCTGCACTAATGGATCGATAAAAAGCAAAAGCAGCTGCATCTACGTGGTAGAGCAGGGGGGCAATGAAAAAATAACAACCTGACAGCATAAAAAATACATGAGGGGTCTCAGAGAATATCTACTGTTGGAGAGGATAAAGAGGTTCTGCTTGAACTGACGAGTTTCCACAAAGAAAAGAATCAAAAATAAATGAGGTTTAGTCCAACCTCAACTTAGTGACCGACTCAAATGACATCAATTGATCACAAGGATCAATGAGCTCTAGGTGTGATGGAATGTGATGAAGATGCAAATAAACACTAAGACTGGAGTTCATTTTCCCATTTGTACTCATATAAACACACAAACATGCATATACTCAAGCAGGGTTTATACAGAGCCGTTTACTGGGTTTGAACAGGACCTTTAATTAACCTCTTCTGGACAGAAGAAGCTAATTGGTTTCATACCAGTTCCAGTCTAAATACAGCCAGCGTGGTTTATGTATAACATAAATGTTGGTTTATCCATCTGCCTCTGTTACTAAGGTTACCATAAAATGTGCTTTTACACCATTTAGTTGTTGGAAGTGGGAACTAAACATGATCCATGTGAGAGTAAGGATGCACAGTGAGACCGTGCTGAATTTAGCTGATAAACTCAGTAAAGTGTCTATATCAGAGTTAGATTGTACAATAAATAAGACAGATAAAAGCTCCAGGGACTACACAGTAGAGATATTCTTTAATATCTAGCTGAATTTGAAACACTAGCTCACGAAAAAACAGTTGTCAAAAAGCAAATATTTTGGTTACACTGATTTGTTAGACCAAAAAAAAAGGCATAGCAGCCAGAGGTCGGTAGTAACTAGTTACATTTACCTAATTATATTTACTTGAGTAACTTTTTTGGAAGAAAAAAAATGTACTTTTCGGAGTAGCTTTACACCATAGTACTTTTTACTTTTACTTAAGTAAAAATATGATAAAGTATTATTACTCTTACTTGAGTAAACTTGTGGATACTCTATCTATTATCTGTAACTTCACCTGATGAAAACAAGCCTGTTTTAACAGATATACACCATTGAGAGACAGAATTTATATATTTTTGTATTCAAGGTTGATCAGTTAAATGTTACTTTCCATCTGCTGAGTCTGCCGAGTCATTTGGACGTTGAGTGAAAATACAGTAAACAGTATACTGTAATTGAATCTATTATTACATACTGTACATATTGGTTATGTACGTTTCTTGATCAGTGGTAGTAGGTATATGTTACTCATTACTTGAGCAGCATTTTTAGAAGCAGTTTTTTCCAAGGCTACTTTTTACTTTTACTTGAGTAAAAATATCAAGAAGTTGTGCTACTTTTGCTTAAGTACACCCACCTCTGATAGCAGCTCAAGCAAAAGTGCAGCAAAGTATTTTTACAGTATTTAATGAAGTTAAATTCTGCCAAAAATGCACAAGTAATGAAAAATGATACAAGCATTTTTTTTTAATAAACTATTCGTGCATATTTAATACAATGAGGCCCCCAATATATCCCAATCATAACTTCCTCTTCAAAACTGGTGTTTGCTTTTTATGCTACTTTAGATTCTCTCCTACTGTGGTTTGGATCTGGAACTAACCTGAGAAACTAAACTGCCTGTGATTGAAAACTTTTCAGGAAATCCCACTTCTGTTTTCTTCATAGTTTTGACTAGTAGTTTTAGCAAAGCATCTTCAGGCTAACAAGAGTTCTCTTCAAGAGTAGAATTCTGACTTGGAATGCAGCATCCCTCTCTGTTATCAAATGAAAATGTTGTAAACAACAAAGCTGGACAAAAAAGAAAAAATGTTTAACAGTGGCTGAAAACTGATTAGAAATGTAAATGTCTGAGCCTCAGTTTCTCAATATTAACAGAATAGAACAAAAAAAACTTTATTTTCCCACAATGGGGGAATTCTGGTGTTTACAGCAGCAAGAAGATTATAGAAACAATTAGTCACACAAATGTGGACCTTAGAAAAATCTATAAGAATAACATAATAGTGAAGAGTGAAATGATAAATAAAATACTGTGATGTAAAGTGTTTTAACAGTATAAAAATTGTGCACCTGGGGATTAAATAACCAATATACAGCTATGGACATTTTTGCAGTAATTGATATTTGATAATAGCAGCAACATCAGAGATGTGCAGAATGACTGCGGCATGTTATTTATATGAATAAGATAGAAACTGTGCAAAATCAACATGAATGTAACAACTTACTGAGGTTGTTGGGAACAGAGAAGCTAACATTAGCCTAGCTCATATCAAGTTCAAAATTCAACATTTAGGATTTAAAGCATATTGCTACTAGTGTCAGAACACATTTGCGACTGCAATAAAGTTATTAAATTATGACTACACTTAGCAAGTTTTTAACTCTTTAAAAGAACTCTTTATGAATGCGTTGCTACATTAATAGGTCTCACTACCCAATCTGTACCGGAAGCACGATCTGTACCATCAGTTCATTCCCACATGTACAACCTGACTTTCAATGAGGTCACTATTAATTCAATTACAATTAAAAAAATACATTATTGATCCCACAGGGAAATTAAATAAATGATGCAATTACTGGGCAATTACTCTAACAACTTTTAAACGAGATTTAGATCCGTTCTATATTCTCCCTGTTAAACTGCTTGTCTATCATCATCATCGGACATAATCAGAACAGTCTGGCAAAGTATAATTATACCATAATTATCTATATTTTAGTTGCATCTTTCATTTAATAATGCTCTATATACCATAAAAGTAAAACATTAATTAAACCCTAGTAAATTTATGTAAAAATCCAAACCCGATTAGCTGCCGGAAGTACGGTAGGATCCCATTTCTGGACAGATCGGGAACAGATCAGTGATAAAACAGAAAGGATGTAAACACTTTTATTCTCTCAGAAAATAAATTATCAATTTTTTACACTTTCTAATTTAGCACGCTTATTTTAATTAATGAGGGAAAAAAACACAACTTAATTTCAGTCTTTAATGAGCTTGTGGTACAGTTCGTGCTACTAGTGCGGATCAGGTAGCAATGGCTACAACTAGAAGGAAAACAATGTCTTAAAGGGCAGGATTTCCTTAGGAGTAGCCAATCACAGGCAGTTTACTTCCTCGCAATTTCTCCATCAGCAAAGAGATAAAAGCTTCCAATCTGCATAGTTTACGTACGACTGTTTTAGTTGAAACTGCTTGTATGAGTGTTTCTTTACACATGTACCCATTTTACAAAATTCTGATTTTATAGTATTTTGCTAAACTTCAATTAAGAATATTCAATGGTGGTTTAAAAAAACATGTAGCTTAAATTCTCATGTTATTAATTCTAACAATGTTAATTTCTTAAAGTTTTTTGTTATTGCAGAGAAAGTCCAAGCAGCTCCTAGCACTAAGCAGCAAGTTGAATTTGCACAAATTAGGTCACCTTTAATGCTAAGATGATAAAAAAAAGTTATGCTTGTTCAAATACATGCTTTGATTTAATTCATATGTTTTATCTGAGCAAGCAGAATTACGTGTTATTCCCTAGATGCCTAGTGTCGCTAATACGCTTCGTATCACATCTACATTTACACAGCAGAATTGCAATTATGAAAGTAATAACCTCTATGATTACCAACAAAACCAAAATTGTTTGTAGCTCAAGGCCAAGTACGGCTCCTTCTGTTTTCTGCACGGACAGTTGCATGTGCAACAAATGTGAGCACAACCTAATACCGCAAGCATACATGAGAAAGGCGTTGCTTCCAGTTTGAAGGTTACTGGCTTGACATTCTTAACCTGGTTTCAGCAGATTAATATAATTTGTTTCCTTTCCAAACAGACAAAGACTCACTGTGTGCGCAGAGTGAAAGCAGCACTGGTGATGGATGTGGGCAGGTTGAGTCCCTTGGTGATTTCTCTCCAGATCTTCTTGTTGATAACTTCCACAAGGCCTCCCTTCTCTGTTACCAGCTTGTAGAGCATATACAGATCCAGGACCTGTTTCGCCATGATGGGAATACGATTGACTGGGGTTCCTACAGAAAACATAATAAACAGATAATATCAGTAAAGCAACAAATATTAACGTGCTCTTCAGTATCTTGAGGGACAGTAAACGGTTTAGAAAAAATTTAGGATTATTCCAAAGACAGAAAAATTTGAATCATTGGACATTAATTCATCAAACAATGAATGCTAAAACATTGATTATAGTTAACCTCTAAACTCTGATCTGATAGATGGTGAGCAAGCTGCCCACACGTCCATAAAAATTGGGTTGAAAACAAATTAGCCCCGTTACGGCAATCTGGCTTGACCTGGAAAAGGGGATTCACAAACACAAAGCAAAGCTGCTCGAGACTTTTGATATAGATGCATTAATCTTGTCAACAGCTTATCTGCAGCGAAGCTCTCGGGAAACGTGTGCAGTGGGAAAACGAGGAGGAGAAGGAGCACCTGCTGCTTCCCATATGTGACGGAATCAAATCAAAGTGCAATGTGCAATAGTCTAAGCATTAAATGGGAGGAGGGGAGTTGGGATTGTGACAACCTGCTTATCCTTAAGAAGCAGAGGATAGGGGGGAGCTAGCTTCATGATAGGCTGGTATAATGAAGCTTATTTAGAGGATTGTGCCGAGTAAATCCACACCACTCTGAGTAAGAGCAAGACCCAATGCATGGGAGATGTACAGATCTGCCATCATAGGTAATTCCTGCCAATCCCCCCCCCGGGCTGCCTTTAACCTGGAGTCATTAATGACTTTATAAAATAGCAGCATGATCAGGCCAGAGAGATTAGCCCTGATTCATTCTCTTAAATTAGTGCCTTTAAGCCATGTGAAGAGGCCACGGTCAGCACATAGTCCTGTGGATTGGAGATCATGAAAGTGACGCTGACGCTCTGAACAAGTTTCAGTCCGTGTTTGGGAAACAAACTAACATCCAATAAGGAGCTGCATTAGACTCCTTTGGAAATAGTTGATGGAGTTTATTTTTTCAAACAAACAAGAGAGTAAAGGTGCAAAAAAATTAAGAAAAAGCATTGGCAAGAAAATGCCTTGCAGAAGTTATGAGACGTTTTTAGACATACCGTTGTGGCAAAACCCCAATGTTGTGTGTATTCGAAGTAGGGATGGAACGGTTTATGAAAACCGTCCGAACCGTTCGATTTGACTGTCTCGGTTCGGTCTGCGTGTGTTGCGTTCGGTTCATGCCCTGCTCCTTTTTCTCATAGGCGAAGCGTTTACACTCCAGAGCAGAAGGTGGCGGTACTGCGACCAAAGCCAACCAACAGTAGTAAACAAGAAGAAGAAGAAGCGAAGCAACGCAGGTGGGTGTAGCAGAAAAAAATCAGTTGTTGTGGAGAATTGTGTGGGTATGGCGAGTGGGAAAGAACAGGAGTTGGAAGACGCGCCAGCAGCACTTTATAGGTCTGCTGTATGGAACCACTTTGCATTTAGAGTGACCTACGATGACGGCGGAAAGAAAGCTGTGGATAAAAGTGCAACAGTGTGCAAGCATTGTGCAACACGTTTTGTTTATGCTAACAGCAACACGACCAACATGTCAGGCTAACAATCAACATATACCGAACCGAACCGAAAACCGTGACCACGAAACCGTGAACCGAACTGAACCGTGAATTTTGTGAACCGTTCCACCCCTAATTCTAAGTAAACCATCAAACTCACAGATCTGGGTTCCAGAAGTTCATATCTACGACTGGTTTCTCATAAATTGTACTGTGTTTGATTGGGCCATGGCTGACCAAGTCCAGATTCTCATGAGCTGCATCTTAAGCCAATGTAAACTGAATGAGCTCATTACCACTCCCATGTACAGCTGAATGACCAGCTGATGAAGGAATTTACACATTTGATCTAGATGTGTAGAGAGGGGGTACATCTAAAACGTGCCTGATAGTAGCTTTCTAGAACAGAGCTTGGACATCCCTTGGTTAGACCATTATTGTTCCTGCTGGTGTACCACAGGGCTGTGTGCTCAGTCCCTTCCTCTGCTTAATTTTCACTTGCATCTAGTTCAACATCAAAAGCAATGATTGGCCTCATCTAGGAAATTGATGACTCGGCCACAGCAACATTAGTTTGTCCAACTTCAAACATCTTGGGGTCACCATCTTACATGAGACATCTCACTGCTTCAAATTGGTCAAAAGGGCTTTTTCCAGACGACTGAGGACAAAAAAATTGACTCCCTTCAGGAATACTGGTTAACTTCTGCCACTGCAAAATTGAGAGCATTCAAATCTTCTTTACTACAGCGTGGTATGCAGAGTTGGTCTGTTGCAGTTTGGAAGCTGGAAGTTGGTGAAAACTCTCAGAACATAACTGAGGCCCAACTTCCAGGAATTGAGGACATTTACAGGAAGCACCACAAAGTCAATATCCGGAAAGACCCCTGCAGTAATTACTTGCACTGAAATTTATTAAGGGTTATCAGAGTAAAGGAGGTTAATTTAAGTGGAAACCAGAATTTATTTATTTTTTAATTGTTATTGTTTTAATGTTTTTTTACATTTTTAATTTGGAACAAACATACAAAAAATAACTCAGATTTCCATGTATGGGTTATTCTTTGGATTTCCTCTTTCAAAATAAAGCAAAAAGAGATAAATAATTAAATTAGTGGTTATTTTTTGTGTGTATTTTTTGTTTTAAATTGAATTAAAATAAGAAAAATATAAAAGAGGTGCGTAATATTTTGTTAGTGGACCATTTTGGATCCTCTGTCAGAGCATTCTAAACCTCCACCACCATACATTTTTTAAAATGGCACTACAATGGTGAACGTCTCACAGTGGACGTTTGTCTTACTAGATGCTGATGAATGTTTACAGTATATATTTAGTCTATAACTATGTTACTGGAGAAATTTAAGTCAACTAAAATAGCACCTCTCTGATTCTCAGCTGCTGTTAGGCCTACACTGGCGACCGCTTAGCAGTTCCTGTCTTCACCTTGACTTCAAAGTAAAATCATATGTTAAAACGTGTAAACATTGCAGCAGGTTGCTTCTTTACATGTTGTACTTAATGCAAAATCCTGAGAGAGTTAATAGCAGAGATGCGTGGAACACCACAATGACACAAAGCACCGTTGATTCAAGAATGGGTTTTTCCACTTTTAAAAATGGCGTATGACGGCAGCTATTACCAGTGTCTGAGGGAAGCTCTGCAGATTTCCAGCTGAAGTGACTTCCAAAAAGTGACAGCTTACCAAAAAAACTAATCAGATCAGTTACAACCGTAGGAGCTGAAATGTTTCCTAAGGACAATTTCTTTACCCATCGGGAACGCTATAATTATTAACTCCCAAACCGTTCAGTTAACATAAGTCTAAAGGATAATTTTACGTTTCCTTTTTTTCCTATTATTTCCTTACTACATGTCTGCATTTTCTCATTTTGTTTTCCTCTACTTGAATTATGTTTTTGATTGGTTAGATTTTAATCTGAGACTGTTCTGCTAATCAGTTTCTGGAGTAAAGCAGCTCATCACTGCTTATTAAAACCACAACATTATATATTATGGATTTAAATAACGAAAACAAAAACTAAAAAGAGAGGATCCTTTAATTATTTCAATATTACATTTTTGCATTTAGCTTTTAAAATGGGAAAGAAAAAAATGATGCGTATTTTCTTTTTGCGAACATGTTTTGAGACAGAAAAACCAAGGAATGAACCAATAAACATATTGTGGGAATATGTAAAACATTAATCATTCAAATAAATCTTTTACTCTGGTAATGCCTTCCGATTTTGTTTGCTGCATAATGTGCTTCATCAGTGACCAAGAAAGCTAAAACAATTAACAGAAAAGACTACCTCTTTTTGGATCTGGGTTTATGTAAAATTTCCAGAACAAATCCAGCGTTAAGGTGCAAGTGCTTTGTCAGTTATCTAATGCAGCGTTGGACATCAATCCTGCAATAAACAATTAGTACAACTAGAGGGGTCAGAGATCAGCCAGGGGTTATTGATGTGTGAATTAAACTGCAGGTCAGCAGGAAGCCATGTTTTCATACTGGCCTGCTCGTGAACAATGAGAGAACAACAAATGTGACACAGGAGCGCTGGCGCCAGAGTGACAGGCCAGCAGTTAGTTAGCTTTTAATTCACGCCTTTTGCCTTTGTCATCATCTGCTGTCAAATCAAAATGCAATTCTGTGTATTTATGTGGAGCTCATGGAAGAGGCCGCTACAGTGCAGAGAAACACAAAGGGTTTCCTTTTTAAAATTAGAAAGAAAGATTGCAAGTTGCCTGAGAAAAACAGGTGATCTGAACCCTTCGAATTCTGATATGAACTCAAGCGAAAGCCCAGAGGAAAGCTGGTATTGACACAACTTCTTATTTACAACACTCTCAGTTAGAGAGAGACTTCCTGTGCACAGCCAAGCTTTAGTGTCCAACATCTGTTGCCCCTAACCCTTGAGACACCCAGCTCTAATTAGACCAGCCCAAAACATGTCTTTTGATCACTAAAACCCGCTACCTCTGCCCCGTATATAATCTCAATTACAATTTTTATTCCCACATTAAACCCAGCGCTAAATGCTGTCAGGAGATAGAATGTTATCAGGGAGGCCTCCGGAAGGCGAACTACTGAATACTTCATCTCTCTGTGAAGCACTGATTTGTCCAGCCGCTTGCTCTGAGCCAACCTGTAATTGGCTGCAGGCCTCACCTCCCATCATCCTTTGCCCCGGACTGATTTCCCCCCAGGGACAGGACCATCAGGAGCCAAGTGATTAATGGCACCAGGGGTTAAAGGTCGCTCTGGTGGGAAGTGCCGAGGCTGAGGGCGCCTGAACCACTCCCAGAGTCCTTCCTCAAACGTCCAGAGTGAGCACCAGAGCCACGCGGCTGCTCTTCAAAGGGGGAAGGACTCGTATTTGAAATTGTGTGTATGTGTGAGAAATATCGACACCCTTACCTTAAACTGCATTAGATAATGTTTTGATAACTTTTGGGGAAAAAAAACATAAAAGGTATGAAACCAGGTAACAGCTTTAC